TATTAGAAGCTTTTCAGGGCACAGACTATGCCTTCCACTTTGTTTGACCTAGACCTAGTATATTGCTGGAAGCAAATAGCAATTCAACATCCAGGACAACAGCTTTTGATGCATAAATAATAATGAAGTGTGTGCATCTAAAAAGGAGCCAGGAAAAACTGGGATAATCTCCAAGTTCTGGGTACTGGGGAAATGGCTAGAAAGTTCACTTGCTCTCCAGATTGTTTCCCTGTTTACTGTCAGATCAGAACTGTAAATACTTTGGCTAGCAGGTGCTCTCAATATGTATCTTCTGTGTCATGAGTTATGTCCAGCTGCATGCCAGCGTGAGTCAGGGCTGGATCGTGAGAACCCCTAGAGCATTTAATGAAACCAGCTGATATTTTCATGAGCGTGGTAAACAGCACATTTGCAAGGAACTGAGATTTTGGTGTGTTCATTGTGGTCCGTTTCTTTACAAATGTAACCTGGAAGGAATCCTCCCTTTTCCTTTCCTTTGTCCCTGATCTCCTAGGATATGAACCATTCAAACACATAACCAATTATATTGCTTTCTTTAGACTTACAGCCAGCTTGCTCATCCAATCCAACAAGCCAAAGCTACAGGGCTCCAGTTCCACTCAAGAATTCTGGACATTGACAATATTGATGTAAGTTTCCCGTTTTCTGTTCCTCCTCAGGGCGTTGGTTGAATCTTGAGCTTCAACCCAGGCTTTACTTCTCAGAGAGGCAGGCTCTTATTAAAAAGTATTACAGCAGCATGGAGAGCAGTAGTGGGCAACCTGAGGCCCAGTGGGGTTCTGCTTTCCCCTCTCATGCACTGGAGCCCCGCACTTCCTACTCCTCTCCCTCCCTCCCAGCACTTTGGAGCACCATAAATCGCCTGACTGGTGCTCTGACCCTGCTCCTCCCCCTCCCTGCCAGAATTGGATTTGCTGTAAATCAGCTGTTTGCAACTGTTCAAGCTTTGAGAAAGGGGCTGGGGGGCATGGACAGAGTGCAAATTGGGAGATTAGCGGTGCTTTAAGTGCTGGGAGGGAGCGCAGTAGGAAGTGCAGGTCCCCAGTGCATGAGCTGCAGGTGGACCACTGAGATGAAGGAAGGCCACTCATGCAGCTCACTTACTAATCGGGGTTACCCATCGCTGATGTAGAGGCCCCAGCAGAGAGCAGGTTGGCGCTGTGCAAGGTACTGTACGTACATATTGCGAGAGACAGTTCCTACCAGAAGGGCTTTCAGTCTGAATTGACATGAAGGTCAAAAAGGGAGGGAAGAGAAACAGAGGCACAGAAAGGGGAAGTGTGGCTTGCCCAAGGTCACACTGCAAAGCAGTGGCAGAGCTGGCACTGTGCCTCCAGAGTCCTGCACAACAGTACCTCTCATGAACCTCATTAGTAGCTTGTGCGTGGAAGTATCTCAGAATATGGTTCTGTATCATTGCTTTACAGTTCATTAAATTGCCTAGAAAAAGGTTTATTCATGTGGCTCCCTTTGGTACAACTCTGGTGTCTGAGGATGGTTTCAGGCTGCTGGGATTATGCTGAGTTTTACAGCACTGTTGTTTTATTGCTCTTTGGGTTTCCATTTCAGAAAATGCTGTATGCAGGAGAATTGCTGCAGCTTTATGTACATCTAAAACCTGTTTTATAATGCATGGATATTTGTGATTCCCTGGATGCTTGGAAAGGGGATTCTGCATCTCTTCAAGTGTTGCACATGTGGTATTGTCTCGTCCTTCTGAGGCTGCCCTTGTATTTGCCAACATCCTGATGCAGAATCAGGGAGAAGTATAGCAACCAACAGAGGCCACGGGAGAGGATCAGTGTCCTGCTCTGTTACCAGTTCTGTGTTGTTCTAGCTGTTCCTGTTTATGAAACAGATCTCAGAAGGAGCTTTGTTCTTTGACATTTGTTTTTCTGCTTCACCTCTGGCCCAGTGGGACAGAATTGTAGGAGTATTTCCCTGTTTTGTGATCAGCCCTGATTCCAGACTGCAGGAGTCCCTTTTCCATACCTGCAAAGGTCCCTTGGTGTACATCTGTACCCAGGCAACTTAGAAAGCCTAATGATAAACACAGGTACCACTGACCCTGTGCATGTGTGCAGATGGCTGTGTTGGTGCTTGCCCTGGATGATAATTCTTGGTGAACATTTCAGAGGGATTGGTTCATGCAGTGCAGGAAAATGTGAGAGCACTGACTCTTGTTGGGGAGGGAGGTTAGGGTTATAAGTCAAGCTGTTATGTTACTAGAAGCCTTTGTTTTTACCAGATCTTACCACATCTATCGCTTGCCCCTTGCGCGTAAGTGGGAAGCGATAGATGTGGTATATCTAGACTTCAGTAAAGCATTTGATAGTTTCACATGGCTGTTTCATTAATGAATTTGGGAAATCCAACCTAGATGTGGCAAGTATAATATGGGTGCAAACTGGTTGGATAGCCATTCCCAGAGAGTAAATATCAATGGTTCACAGTCATGCTGGAAGGGCATAACAAGTTGGTTTCTGCAGAGGTCAGTTTGGGGACCAGTCCCATTTATTATCTTCATCGATTATTTAAATAATGGCATAGAGAGTACGTTTATAAAGTTTGCAGATGATCTCAAGCAGAGAGGGATAGCTGGTGGCTATTCCAGTATTTAGATTTACCAAACCAGCACAGAAGAGCCTCTATAACACCTTCCTAGTTATTCAGAAGCCAGCGACACAGTCCCCTTAAGCAACCTAGCATGAGGCTACCACCCCGACACCTAAGTCAAATGTGAAGAGGGTCACTGAAGATCTTACTCCATCACATAAGATCAGGCACATTACCTCTCAGGTTAACGACAGTCTCACATCTTACCCCAAATACATGCTTGCCAGCAATTAGAAAATTTACCCAGCATTGCTCAGGTCCTTTACTCAAGGGGCTGGGGAGGAGAGGTTCAGTATGCAGGATGCCCTGGGGAGAAAGCACAACCCCAGCCCTCTCTCACCACAACAGCATCACATTTTCCCCATGGCGCATTCAAGCAGAGAGGAGATCATGAAGGATCAGGTCCAAGATCTCTTAAGCTGTCAAGAGAATTGGATTTGTATAAAGTTAAGTGAACAGTAGGTGATCCTGGAGACTTATTTCCCAAGCATTGTGGGTGCTTGGCTATGTGGATTAGCATAAGACGAATTCTTTACTGTCATTAACAGGTGATTAGCTTTATACTTCAAAGAGCATTCGTTCCAGTGTCACGACTCTATTTACAGTTTATTTAAATGTTCATCTCTCCTTTTGAACTCTGACAGAATATACCAGGGATCATTTGATTATACCGGTATATCTAGAAATCCACAGAATACATTGACTACCAAAATGCCTCAAAGGACTGTATTTAGGTCATTTTATTTTACAGGATGCTTAACCCTTTACAGGCCATTGGCCATACTGCCGTATCTAACCCGTTGGTTACTGGGAGGCAAGTCCAGGGAAGTTTTCTCTCAAAGACTTCCCAGTATGACGTGGGTCTCATTCTCAACAGAGGCAAGCCAGCATCACTCCCCTCTCAACGCATCAGATTTGTTGGGGCCTTAATTCCTGTGAGTTTGAGAGCCCATGTACTGACAAAAGCGACGAGGAGTCCTGTGGCACCTTATAGACTAACTGAAGTGTAGGAGCATAAGCTTTCGTGGGCAAAGACCCACTTCGTCAGTTGCATGTAGTGGAAATTTCCAGAGGCAGGAATAAATATGCAGGCCAGGATCAGGCTGGAGATGACGAGGTGGATCCAAAGAGGATGAGGCCCACTTCTAGCAGCTGATCTGGAGGTGTGAATTCCAAGAGAGCAGAAGCTGCTTTTGTAGTACAAATAAGTGATGGTCATATCAATACCACCCTATACCGAAAACCTACCGACCGCTATACTTACCTGCATGCCTCCAGTTTCCATCCCGGACACACCACACAATCCATTGTTTACAGCCAAGCACTGAGGTACAACCGCATATGCTCCAACCCCTCAGACAGAGACCTACACCTACAAGATCTTCAACAAGCATTCTGTAAACTGCGATACCCACACGAGGAAGTGAGGAGACAGATTGACAGAGCCAGACGTGTACCCAGAAGCCTCCTGCTACGGGACAAGCCCAAGAAAGAAACCAACAGAACACCACTGGCCATCACCTACAGTCCCCAGCTAAAACCTCTCCAACGCATCATTAGTGATCTACAACCCATCCTGGACAATGATCCCTCGCTTTCACAGGCCTTGGGAGGTAGGCCGGTCCTTGCCCACAGACAACCCGCCAACCTGAAGCATATTCTCACCAGCAACTACACACCGCACCATAATAACTCGAACTCAGGAACCAATCCTTGCAACAAACCTCGGTGCCAACTCTGCCCACATATATACACCAGAAACACCATCACAGGACCTAACCAGATCAGCGATACTGTCACTGGTACATTCTCCTGCACATCCACCAACGTAATATATGCCATCATGTGCCAACAATGCCCCACTGCTATATACATCGGCCAAACAGGACAGTCCCTACGTAAAAGAATCAATGGACACAAATCTGATATTAGGAATGGCAACATACAAAAACCTGTAGGGGAACACTTCAATCTTCCTGGACACACAATTGCAGATCTAAAAGTAGCCATCCTGCAGCAAAAAAACTTCAGGACCAGACTTCAAAGAGAAACTGCTGAGCTACAGTTCATCTTTAAGTTTGACACAATCAACTCTGGATTAAACAAAGACTGTGAATGGCTTGCTAACTACAAAAGCAGCTTCTATTCTCTTGGAATTCACACCTCCAGATCAGCTGCTAGAAGTGGGCCTCATCCTCCTTGATTGGATCCACCTCGTCATCTCCAGCCTGATCCTGGCCTGAATATTTATACCTGCCTCTGGAAATTTCCACTACATGCATCTGACGAAGTGGGTCTTTGCCCACGAAAGCTTATACTCCTACACTTCAGTTAGTCTATAAGGTGCCACAGGACTCCTCGTTGCTTTTGCAGATTCAGACTAAGACGGCTACCCCTCTGATACATGTGCTGACAGGCATTTTCCATCAGCTGAGCCCCCGCCTGCAGCTTGAGTAGGACTAAGGCTGTTGGGTCACATGGCTGCTTGCACACCAGTGGCCCAATTTGCCAGGTTCTTCTCCGAGTGATTACTCATGTCAGTTCCAAGCAGGTGTGCGCACACCACGGGCACCGTCATCGGAAGGTTTTCCCCTGCCATACCCATCAGTAGGCGGTGGAGCTCCCTGGAGCAGCAGCGCCATGGTGCTATATATATTCCCCTGTTGACCCTCCCCCAGCTCAGTTCTTCCCTACTGCCAGTGACGGTCCTTGGAGCTTTCCTTCTCTTGCCTCGGGCAAGTGCTCTCCCCAGCTCTTAGCTTACTGTCTTTAAATAGTTGGTTAGTAGTTCAGTATTAGTGTTGTTTAGTGGGGAACGGTCCTGTCCTCCCTCCCCTGGGAATCGTGGTGTGCCTCAGTGCTTCGTGGCAGAAGTCTGTGCCTGCAGGTGACCCCCACAACACTTGTTGCAAGTGCATGGGGGAAGCACATCAAACAGACAAGTGTAAAATCTGTGAAGGTTTCTGCACTTGGACAAAAAGAAACTTTGCAGCTCCTTCTGATGGAGTCACCC